ATACGGAAGATATTTTACACGATCCGGAAAACCCGCGGGTTATATGCGTGGGCGGGTTATTTGCGTGGGCGGGTTATATGGGTGGAAATACGGTAATTCTAATTGGTGAAATTAGAACATAACCATTGGTAATCTTGATCCTTTATGATTGTATTATGTTTTTCAATCCTATTCACATATTTGAAATGAATAATTGATAATAATCAAAAGTGCTTTGGACATCTGTTATGCTAAAGGGAAAACTTTCTAAATACTATCTGCGCCTCATTCAAAATACAAGTTTTAATGTCCCCAAGTGTCTTAGTCTCAAAGATTCAGGAAATCATTTAAAAATCATATTAAGTATCTCTATTGATAACATGGGCTAAGATCACAATTAAACGGATGTCTTGTTAAATTAAGAAACCTACCAGAGACAGCACAATAAAAATGAAATCCAAGAAATAAAACCAAATACAAACTCATTAAAAAGTAACTATCCACGTACTTCTTTACAATGAATTTAATTTTTCCACTGCCCCGCACAATTCTTTCCAGGCGAGGGATTCCAAACCAGGTTGGGCTTCGAAAGGGGATCCCTTCAGGCAAACCTTCTACATACAGATTATCAGGATTTGACTCAAAGACAGGATAAGGAACTTTCACTGCTTCACTGAGACCCAGAGCTTGTGCTGTAAAGGAGGCAAGAACTTAATTTGGGTCAAGCTCCTGCCATAGAAATGACATTCAAAGATAAAACTCACCCACCAAAGGCACAGATATTTTTCTCAATCTTGCTAAAGGCTACTTAATAGTTAATTAAGTTCAGGTTTTTGTTTGTTATGATACCAATCCAAGTATACAAAATCTGGGAAACTTTCCTTTAATCAAATGAAAGGGCTTTTTAAAAACTTTGCTGAACCTCTCAATAAAAAATATGTTCTGGTTAGTCATCCTTTTAAAGCAGGAAATGACAATTCCAATCCCAAGAGTGTCTTTTCAGAATGTCTTACACAGATATTAATCCAATGTAAGTTTCATTTTAGAATGGCAAGACAACACAATGATGAATCTCCTTCTCTGCTAGCATGACTACTTTCCTTGCCACTGCCTCAGAGAGAATAAGAATGATATAAGGACGTAATTCTCCAAGTGGATTTCAGCACTTATACTACTCTATTTGTATCTCCTTGAATAAATACAATTATTTGCTGTCTTTTCCTACTTTTTTTCATGTGAAAATCAAATCAAGATATTTAAAAGTCTACTGGGATTAATGGTGAACTATATCCAAAATAAGATCAAAGCAAGGCATCACAATTGTTCTAGAGATACAGCAATACACAATACTCTTTATATACTACATTTCTTATTAAATAATTCTTTAACATTATTTTATAGAAATTCTAGAAACTTTGGTATGTGCAGTTTCACTCACACCATTTCCAAAAACAAGCAATTAATCAGAACACAAGAATTATGAACACAGTTTATATTTTATTCTATGTGTTTATGTGAAACATCAGTACTGCCTAGCAAACAAACAATGTTTCACCTACCAAATTTCATATTAAATATTTCTTCTACTTGTTTCCTCAATTTTGTGATTCTGACATTCCAATCTTCTTTGACTGGAATGAAAATAAAATACAAAAAATATAGATTGCACTTTAGTAAGATACAATGATATTTAATAGATATACATTCTATTTCCATCAAAGCTAAGTTACAAAAAAGTAATTTTCATTTACTGATTATTAATTTTATTGTTTCATAAATATTATTTTTTCATCTATAATTATATTGGGCCAGACAGTCATTCAAATCACATTTGGAGTACTATAATTTAAAATAATTTTTTAGATGGTGCTGTTGTTGCAGAGAACAAAAAGCAATAATAAGTGTGCTTGAAAATTCAGACTAAGGTCTAAGTTATGATTAGACCCAATCATCTAATTAATCCCAAATATGCAGCAACATATCCATAACATGGATTGAATTAACTTTATCAGGATGGTCCAATATTTTCAGCAAAGCTAAAATATTCATATGTGTTTAGGTCTCATCTTTAGCTACAACAGAGATAGTGCAATTGTACCGTTTACTTGCTCATCTTCAAAATACAGATTTAGTACCTTAAACCACTCAATAATCTAACTTTGATTATATGATAAAAATGTATTGAATAATGAAAGATCATCTATAGGTTTATGACCACAAGATTTTAAACTTATTTAGGCAAAACATTTTAATAGTTCCTATTGCTAATTGAATCAATTATTCCTTTTAAAAATCTGGATTGTAATTACTAAAAATTAAAGCTACTTCTCAAATTCTATCAAAAATAATGAATAGCCGGTCTTAGAATCTGCATTAAATCTTATCTTTTTTAAGTTGAAGAATAAAATGAGAGCAGCTATCACTTCAGCCCATAAGAGGTTACTAACTGAGTTTAGTCCTACTTTTATTTTTCTTCCCACCATGATAAATGTGACAGACAGAGTCAGAAACAGTTAGTAATATGCTTCTAATTACAAGAATAATGAGCCAGAGCTGAAGAAGCTATGGTAGAGGAGGAGAATCTATGGCTTGCTAGATCTCACTTAATTATAAGTCAAAGTAGCTCCCAACTGGCATGACTAATGATGAGGGATACTGGGAATTGTAACATTTGGAAGATTGCAAATTTTATATGGTAAGCATTATCAAACCCTTGCCTTTCAAATCACAATGGGTAAGTAAAAACAAAGGAGAATATCGAGCTGTATCAGAAAGAAAAGAAATGGAGTTCCATACTCTAGATATAAAATGGGAAGAAAAAAAAAAGAAAGGCACCTCTACCCGAAGGGGGAAAAGGTGTTCCTATCATCTTAAGAAACATTTATCTTACCTGGCATGTTTGTTCTTGGTTGAGTAACTTCTGTGGAACTGACTGTGAGTAGTTCTGGCCTAGAATTTAAAAAAATATAGACAATGATTCTATGGTACTTATCTTTCAAATATTTTGGGTCTCTTTTCTGAATTATATATTATGAAAATTATTTTGAAACAACTCAATTAGATTATAGCAGCTCAAAATGCAAAATAGGACAGAGTCCACTCATTAATTTTAAATACACATAAACCCTGTTTGTTTTACTCATCATTAAGACTACCCAAAAATTTGTTTGATAATTTTACAACGTTACAATTCATAGACTGGTTTTCAACTGGAGTCCCCAACTTTTACACAAGGGATGCACATGTATTTACCAGAAGATCAAGAAGATAGGGGGTTGTTTTTTTAGCTCTGAAATATGTCATTTTTATCTTCTAAGCCAAAACCTACATAAAATTTTATTTTTTAAAAACATTTCTGGGATATACACAAGGCCTATAACTTGGCTGGAATAAAGATAAATTCTGATGCTTTCAATATGATGACTTGTTTTATTTTAAATTAAAAGAATCTGAAGGAAGACCTGAAATATGCAACAGTTCATAAAGGACTCAACTTGGAACTTGCACAAGTTAAACTAAGAAAGAAAAAGCCAACCAGTTTCTCTAATGTGATCTTGATCTTATATCCACCATTTTCAAAGAGAACATTAGGAAACACTTTGAAGTACTAAACATAATTGATAGAGAGAGAGAGGAATAGTGGAATGAACTTAAAGACATTAAAGATGAATGTAAAACGGAAGAAAGTAAACTGGATGTGCTTTCCAAAGCCCTTGGTAGAGATACTCAAATGCTGTGATGCATCTGTAACTACAAACAATCAAAACAGATCAAGAAACATTATTCACTGAAATACTCTATACAAAGTTGGGCTTTGAAGAGGCCAGATCAGAAAAGTATTGACACTTTTGAACTTTGCTTCCAGAGAAGACTTCTGAGAATATTGTGGACAGCCAAGCATTCATTGTGTCCCTTAATATATTTTATATTGCTTAAAATTGGATTGTTTTTTATCTTACAAATGTAATAAGAACATACTGAAATGCAAAGGTAACTGGTCTTACTTTTTTATTACAAACTTTATCCTATTCCCCACTTGAAGAATTTTCTCTAGCCGAGGGATTCCATACCAAGAGGGACTCCGAAATGGAATATTCTCTGGCAAACCTTCCACATAAAGATCAGTGGGATGCGCTTCAAATTTCTGATAAGGTACGGCCTTTGGTTCAGTGCTTCCCAAGGCTTCAGCTATTAAAAAACATAGCAACACAAGGCACTCAGATTCCATGCAAGAACAAGTCTTAAACTACAAATGTCCTGATTTATAAAATAGCATCTCAGAAATGGATTGAACTTATACCCCGTTTCCCCGAAAATAAGCCCTCCCTGGATAATAAGCCCAATTGGGTTTTTGAGCGCATGCGCTAAAATAAGCCCTTCCTGAAAATATTGCAACACAGCACCAGCCATGAGGTGACCACGCTCGTCAGCTCCTGCACCTCAAAAATCTGCACCTCAAAAATAATAAGACCTCCCCAAAAATAAGTCCAAGCACTTATTTCGGTGGTAAAAAAATAAGACCCTGTCTTATTTTGGGGAAAACACGATATAGTGGCACCTTGGTACTTTTATCATTAATTGCTTCCAACAGGCGACAAGTACTAAAAAGGACGAGTACCAAACAAACTACATGACCCTTTGTTTCGACCAGGAAGGATTTCCTATTTGTCCCTTTTCCTATGTCAGCAACCTTCCCAGAATGACCTATTTCCTGTCCATCTTCTGTTGCTGTCCCCCACTTCCTTTTGCAGTGTGTTGAGTACCAAACAAGGAATGAGTACTGGGAGAACATTTTTTGTGTCAAATTGAATTGAGTACCAAATTTGACAAGTTTTAAAGCAATTGAATACTGAGGTACCACTGTACTTGATGCTATTTTTTTTTTACACTGCTACTCTCATAAAAATTATTTCCTTTCTTCTTTACAGGGCAGGATTCTCATTGAAAAGCAATATATTTATTTATAATTTTTAAATTATTAATTGACCAGTAATTATAATTAGATTTAGACATCACCTGATTCCAAGACTGGATGCTTTATAGTACATAAAACCAAGTAGACGAAGTAGCTGTCTATCCACATAATTATTTAGAAATAATTATAAGAGACTAGCATCCCAGTACAGAAAGAAGAGTTATGCCCAAACTGGTAGACTTTTTTTCAGGTATTGTAAAGAGGTTACAAACACACATGCACCACGAATTGCTATCAAGTGTACTTACCAAATTTTTTGCAGAATAACTGATCTACCATTTTCCTTAGTTTTGTAATTCTGGCATACCATTCTTCTTTCACTATAATCAATGGTGAAATAAGGATTTTACTAAAATAGTTAATATTCCAAAGGCAATTCCTTATTTTCTCAGAAAATTTAATTTCACTTTTCCAGGCTTTCCATCTTCAAGGATGAATAATTTTGGTAGAGGAAAAGGCCAGAGGAAGATACTTTTAATAAGTGCATTTATAAGCAATAGCTATCAAGGATAGTGCAACTATAATAGGGGGCAAAACAACGAATAAGGGCAGATATTGCAGCTTTTCTAAGCACCAGACAGATAGCTAATAACGTGACAAGGACCAAATAAGGGTAACCAGGGCAAAAGGACAACCAGAAAATGCACCTCTGATCTCAGAGTAGCTATTACAGTCTAAATATCCAATTCAGCAGGAAACAAGCCTATTTACATTTCAGTTCTTTTAATATTTACAACATATCAGTAGCATAGGTGTTGTGGCCCAGCAGGAGCCATTGGAGCTGTCACCAGACTCCAACAGCGAGGGGCCCTATGAGTCAGCTCTCGAGGAGGTGGAGGACCCTGGACATGGTTCCGACTCCAAGCAGGGCGCAGAGAGGCTGGTTGGCCACCAGG